ACGCAGGATTGATAAACCTTCAGCGAGCACTCCTGAAATTTCAGATCATTGGTACCATGTTTTTGGATACATTCAATGACCTAATACATAAAATCACATTTCTTATTGCTCAATCACTTGACCCTGTATGGCACAAGATTGCAAGCTTCCATCATAAAATTGGGTTATTTATTTGATGCAACGAAACATGCATTCACAGCAGACGGAAATTCGTTTGAGATATTACTGAATTTTTGTATTCAGTTATCCATTTCAACCACAATCATCACTTAGTAAGCTGAGATCGCGCATTGGGATACTGACTGTGCATAAATGCGCAGTGTAGTGTCATCAGAAGACCGATTGAGAATATTTTGCACCATTACGTCATTTCAAATATTATATTAATTCACAGACAACAAAATAAAGATTTTCAATAACATACAAGTTTTCCCACAGTTTATGATTGTATGGCAATTACAAGGCTTTGCCAGTTTTACTTTGGAAGAAGTTGAAAACAGGTAACAGGAAGGGGCTACATTACTACATCTTTTTTTTTTGGAATTTTAATCAAGCATGATTTTTTTAATTTTTTTTTTTTTTTTTTTTTTTTACAAATGTCTATTTCAGGGCAACAGAAACAAAAACAATAAATGTGTAGGTAGGCATTTTAACAATTGCACAATTAATTTTTGGTGAAAACGTCATTACCGATATAAATCATAATCATAATTAAAAATAAGATCACATTTAATTTAGTCAGTTTTCATAATGAAATGCATAATAACATGTACTTATAAATTTGAATAAGGTTCAACAGCCTTTTCATTTAGTGCCAGTTTATACACCATAAAACCTCTGGTTTAGGTGTCACACTCATAGGCATCGCGAAATGTTGGAATTGAATTCCCCCAAAAAATTCACATACTGTAACATGCATTATTTTTTTTTATAATCTTGTTGATAACAAAAGTAAAGTATGTTCTAAAAGAAGTTTCGAATAAATACAAACACGAATACATTGCTCAGTGGTTTAAGTACCGGTAACAAATGATCACGGTAGCACAATCTGGTCATTCTGTGTTACGCAAGTGAATAACTTACTTGTTTTCGAAGTATTTACAAACTAGTTTCATAGATTGGAGAAAATTGTTTGCTTTTTTGGCTTTTCACAAGAATATAAAGCTGGCAATCATCATAATATTCACGTCCGTACGTACGTCACGGAATGTACACCAATCGTACCCCAAAATACATTCAATTTTGTAGAAACTGGAGAACTTACCTTTGCAAACACGTCTCTTATGCCGCCTTCTTGAAGTTCTTGAAATCAAATAAGGTTACTAGTTCTTCTAGTAACTAGTGAATAAGACCACTGAGCCAAACAGAATACATGTATAAACAGTACTATAATAAATTACAGGCAATGGAGAAATCACGTGCTGTAGCGTTACTCACAGATCTAATCTACTGTAAAATATGTTATTTCAGCTGGAATTATCATTCGCTGAAAAAAATTTGTCTGGCTGTTTTTTGTATTCAATTTATTTTCATTGATTTTTGACAAGTTTGACTGTAAAATATAGGAAAAAGAGAATATTCGCTGGATTTTATTTTAACTGAAACATTCCTTCAGCGAAAATAGCAAAAAATGTTGCAAGCAAAAAAAAAGTATTTTACAGTAATTAATTTATTCTGAGCATGCGCAGACATTCTGTCAATGTTGCCGGGAGAGGTAATTTGGGATTTTCAGATCTGGAAAAAAAATTACGTGCATACTCGGAAGACACTTGTTCATCAACCTGTCAAGTTTCACTGATACCTGCTGTAGAATTTCTGAAAAAATGTTGGAGACGGAAAACGGACAAAACCTGAATTATAAAGTCCCCTTTTCAGGCTGTGCCTGAACGGGGACTAAAAATAACCCTGCGTTGATAAAAATGGTCTAGAAAAAATAATGTTTCGCGTTGACCAAATATAATCATGCAAAGTATAAATTCAGAGTGTTTTAAGACATTGGTGAGAGGTCGCATTTTACGAACATGCACTAAGAAGGAAAAGCAAGTCAAAGTCGAAATCGGTGCATCATGGACATGACACAACACACGCTGCGACAACTGAGTGATCAGCGACATCATTTTGGGACTCAATTGAACTTCAAGTACTTAGCGAAACTTGCTGCGCGGCGATGGTGGCATCAAGTGTATGTTGACCGAAGTTTGACCCCCAGGTCACGCGCTGAACTGGGCGCGTTACCTTAGCAACCTTTTTCTTTTGTGGTCCGCGCGTCGATCTAGTAAAATTGTTATTATATCCGATGGTACTGTAATTACGCAACTTGTATGTACTGGCTTTGAATATATCAAAGTCGTTTACTTAGTGCACTGCTTTTCTAATTACGCAAATTTGTTTACAATATTGTACCAGCTCTGAATATTTCAACTTTGTAATGTATTGCTTTCATGATAATTACGCAAAATCAAATATAGTTACTTGTCATTTGTTCCAAAAAATCTTTCAACTCTCACAAATACCATGAACGCGAAGAGTTAACTGAAAGGGAACGTCTTTTCTTTTGGACAAAAAACACGTCAGTACAAGATTATGTGCACAAGGTTAGCTTTATAGAACGTACATGACCGCTTAACTCTGTGTTTTTTAATAATCATGTCGCATGTGAAACGCAGGGGACATTTTAGTTCGCCCATTTCTTGTTTACCGACTTTTTGTCTGGAATGCAATACAGACAAAGATTAAACATTACTGATAACAACCAAAAGGCTCGAACAAGGAAGGCTTGGATATTTTAAACTTCGTAAATAACATTCTTTTCAAGCGTAGGCTTTATTCGAGTGTAATAAACGTAAGTGAAATGTATTTTAACGAGTAATAATACGCAACAACAATTCGTATACAGCATTGGTTTTATTGAAGTTTTAATGCTTTTCAACTTCAGTGAATTATTTTAGCGTCATATTTGAAATAGCGCGCTCGATACAAGATGTCGGACACCAAAATTGGGGTCTGTAAAAATGTTTGTTGGTTCAGTCAGACAATGTGTGGACCAAAACATCGCCCACTATTTGAAACATTGCCTATGGGCGGGGTTTAGGATGGGCGGGGTATCAGCCGAATCCCAGTCATTGTACAAAGTATATGATATATGTTTGTACCTGCTTTGTCTTTGCATGGAATCAACTCGTAGGTGTTCCCATCTTGAATTCAACAACCCCATTTGTTCACGGATTTCATTTTCTTCTTCTTCAGTAATTCTGCCTTCAACTATATGATAATTCCCTTCTTGAAGTACAGCACCAACATTGCCTTGATGAGCCGTCAACTCCATCATGAATTCCTGTAAATATTATTGAGGTTATTCAAAAAACTGTGACCAGAGTTGTACTGTTTATTTACATTATCTACTATTAGTAAGTTGCTGTAGTAACTGATTGGGTTAAGTTCTCTTAGAAGCACATCTCTAATAGAAGAGCAGAGCAGATATGGATATTAATATATGATTTATTCTGATTATGACACACATAGGTGAAATAGAGAGTGCCATAGCACAGAGAGAGCAAATACAGTGTACCAATAAGAATTTACAAACATAGTATTATAGCCATAGGACATAACTTAATATTATTTTGGAGGGGTGGGTGATCTGTTAGTTGGGCAAGGGTGGTTGATCTGTTAGTTGGGATGAATGGGTGATCTGTTAGTTGACAAGGGTGGCTGATCTGTTAGTTGGGCAAGGGTGGGTGATCTGTTAGTTGGGCAAGGGTAGTTGATCTGTTAGTCGACAAGGGTGGTTGATCTGTTAGTTGGGATGGATGGGTGATCTGTTAGTTGGGCAAGGGTGGTTGATCTGTTAGTTGGGCAAGGGTGGGTGATCTGTTAGTTGGAAAGGGTGGGTGATCTGTTAGTGGGCAAGGATGGGTGATCTGTTAGTTGGGATGGATGGGTGATCTGTTAAGTTGGGCAAGGGTGGTTGATCTGTTAGTTGGGCAAGGGTGGGTGATCTGTTAGTGGGCAAGGGTGGGTGATCTGTTAGTTGGGCAAGGGTGGTTGATCTGTTAGTTGGGATGGATGGGTGATCTGTTAGTGGGCAAGGGTGGCTGATCTGTTAGTGGGCAAGGGTGGTTGATCTGTTAGTTGGGCAAGGGTGGGTGATCTGTTAGTTGGGCATGGGTGGGTGATCTGTTAGTGGGCAAGGATGGGTGATCTGTTAGTGGGCAAGGGTGGGTGATCTGTTAGTTGGCAAGGGTGGGTGATCTGTTAGTGGGCAAGGGTGGGTGATCTGTTAGTGGGCAAGGGTGGGTGATCTGTTAGTTGGCAAGGGTGGGTGATCTGTTAGTTGGCAAGGGTGGGTGATCTGTTAGTTGGCAAGGGTGGGTGATCTGTTAGTTGGCAAGGGTGGGTGATCTGTTAGTTGACAAGGGTGGGTGATCTGTTAGTGGGCAAGGGTGGGTGATCTGTTAGTTGGCAAGGGTGGGTGATCTGTTAGTTGGAAAGGGTGGGTGATCTGTTAGTTGGCAAGGGTGGGTGATCTGTTAGTTGGCAAGGGTGGTTGATATGTTAGTGGGCAAGGGTGGGTGATCTGTTAGTGGGCAAGGGTGGGTGATCTGTTAGTGGGCAAGGGTGGGTGATCTGTTAGTGGGCAAAGGTGGGTGATCTGTTAGTGGGCAAGGGTGGGTGATCTGTTAGTGGGCAAGGGTGGGTGATCTGTTAGTGGGCAAGGGTGGGTGAACTGTTAGTGGGCAAGGGTGGGTGATCTGTTAGTTGTGCAAGGGTGGGTGATCTGTTAGTTGGCAAGGGTGGGTGATCTATTAGTTGGCAAGGGTGGGTTATCTGTAAGTGGGGCAGCCAGTATACATACTTCATGGGCATGGAACTGTTCTTTCACTTTATCAACATCATCAGATATTGGCTGCTGAGCTCTTAGTGTATCTTCAGCCTGTAATAACCATGTCAATACAGTTTCTAAATCAGCTTGATAACGAGTGAGATCAGCAACGCCCTACAAAACAAAACACAACAATTAAGATACAACAAGTCAATGTCAATCTTGTTTGTAGTGTACAACAATGAAAGATGAAGATAGATTATAATTAAAAGTTGAGGTAAGTATTCAGCCTCTGAACTACAAACGGCATTATTTCAAATGACATTATAATCAGATTTTGTTAAAATATCACTCCTGGCCATTGTGATCGACTCAAATCAGACACATGCATCAGTGATAGCTACTTTGAATGATTATGGCCATGGCACACCTGTGGCACACCTGAAGCACACCTGAAGCACACCTGAGGCACACCTGTGGCACACCTGAAACACCTGAAATACATGTAGCTCCGCTGCACATTTGAATATGTATAGTATCAAAGTAATTGGACTCGCTGTTTTTAACAAGAATTCAAAAATACAACTTTTTACCAAAAATGACAAAAATATTAATCAAAATTAGAGAATTAAAGATATCATCTCGAAATGAACAAATCTAAGAGAGGGCTGCCCAAGGTACATATATACGAAGTATAAAAGCAATAAGAATTGTAGTTTTCAAAAAGAAGTTGAAAATGTAAAAAGTTGACATGGACGACGACGGACAATCACTCATCTGATAAGCTCCACTTGACAAAGTCGACAGCGGAGCTAACATCAGTTGAGTCACCAATATAAAACATTAAACCATGTTTCAGAATATGTCGGACAGAGACAATTAAGAGGGTCTTACAAACCTGCTGCTTGGCAACAGTAGATGTGACAACAGTTTTTCTAGAGACAGTTGTTTGCTTGGTAACAGACAGTGGTTGCTTGGTAACAGATAATGGTTCTTGTGATATGTCAGTTGATGCAATCTATGATTGAAGATATAATTATGACAATAAAGACAAAGTACTGGTAAGTATGCAATCTGAGGATTTGTAATAGAAGAAAACATGCAGATCCAGATTTTCATCACGCATACCGTATTTGTCCAATTTAGCACTCAGAGAACTCAGCAATAAGGAATATACCATCCTCGTTCAACTCAGCTTCCAAAATCATGTGTTTTAGGGGTTGGGGGTTTAGACGAGCACCCCCCTTTGAAAAAGTATGCAAATGACAACTGTAGTTCACCATGTGCCAGATTGAGGGGAATATTACATTTCTTTTGGAGAAATAAGATTTCAAAATTAGTTAGGTTGTCATTGATTTCCATACTTTTACAATGAATAAACAAAAATGGTCAAAAAAATATGCACATTTTATTCTAATATTAATTATGTACTGCCAGAATTACCATTTTGGAGCAAACATGACAATAGAAATGCCCCAAAAGTCAGACGAGTATAGTAGTTTAATTGTTCTCAACACTAGCTGCATATATTTGTTTGACTTTCAAATGGACACGTTGACTTGTACTATTTGGCTGCCAATAATGTTGATGCAAATTTGTACTATTTCATCACTACTCACTGAATAGGTTACATGTATAGACATTTAAAAAAATAGGCCAATGGCCTGTTGCTCAACGGCTATTGTACAAAAGATTAGTTCTGTATATGCGACAACTTTTCGTTTAAATTTGTACTTTTAAATGAAATATCGCCAAACAACCACACAAAGTTGTCAATGGAATAATAAACACATGTATGCCTAACACCAAAGCATTGGAAATAGTGGTTAGTTGAAATTCCATTTTTAACCAAAAATGACAGAAATCTAGTAGATGTCAACACAAGATACATACACACCAAGTATCAAAGCATTCAGGCTAATTTCCTTACCAAATTATCAAAACTGACAGAGGACAATCCAAGGCACATGCACTATCAATATCAGCACTGTAGACCACTTAGTGTCATAGTAATGTAAGCTACACTCACAGTAACGGTAGGATACAAGTAGTATATCGGGGCAGTGGGCTAAATGCAGTCGTGGGGGACTTGGGTTCGATAACAAAATACCCAGCTCAGTGTTGCATGTAAAGTTAGAATGTTGTATTAACACATAACAAACAGAAACACAATTGTAATGAACTCTACGTGGATACAGTAATACACAGTAATGTGACACGTAACGCAGTTATTTCTCAATAAAAGTCTCAATAAAAAGTAGAAAATACAATTACAAGTTCTGTAATGTGCTATCAAAATGTATTACAAGATACTACTCATTACGTGGTTACTATAATGACTAACAAGGATATCTATGCACAGTACTGTATAGTGCCACTAACTGCTACAACCATATAGGCCAACACATCAGTACAGAGTACTAAAGAGAATGTATGGCATACGCAGTAATCCTAACTTACTCAATACAAATGGCTACCACATACACATACATATTTACTAACTAGAAACACTAAGTGCTG